GGCATCAGACAATGAAAGAACTGTACAGTGATGAGTCCAACCAGGAAGTTTTTTATGAATTTTGTAGGCCCTGTTGTAGAGCCTAACTAGGGGTAGGGGTCTGTGCAAAATCTGAACTGATATCTGCGAAATTAGATTTTAGGGTGGCCCATTTTTAAAGGTTAAAAGTAAAAAAAAGTTTGTCAGTTTGCAGTTTTTTAAATTTGTAGGTTCTGCTTTTTGTATCTGGGATGGTAAACTTTTAACTTGGACAATTAAGTTAGGGAGGAAAATGATGACAATCAGATCGTTTTCTGAAGAATCACTGAGTTTTTCTGTTTTTGTTAATTTAATAGAAAGCTGAATCTGTAAAACCTCTTTCATTTTCTCTGCAACAGAGCAAACTTTACAGCCTACCAGCCAGCCATGCGAGTCGTGTTTATGAGCTGCTTATCAGCCATCTGCAGCTTCACTACAAGAACAAGTACTGTTCAACCATCGCCTCTTCTGTTAGATTACAGGTAAGACTTTCTACCTGCTTTTATCCAAACTTTTATTTTTACATTTTGAAAAGTTTAACTGCTTTTCTAAATTCATCCCACTTAAATCCTGTGCTTTCTGTGTTTTCTTTAACGTTCTCATCCAGGTGTTTGACTTCTTCCTGATGATGCGAGCAGACTCTCTGCACCGTATTGGAGTTCCCAACAAAGATGGAGCGATGAGATTCAGTCCATACTGTTACTGTGACACAGGGTGAAAACACAGACAAAAGACAGATACTTTATTTTTTTAGTTCCTGAAGGCTGATCGTAATTGGACCAGTCCAGTCATATCAGAACTGTATGTCTGTGTAATTTATTTCAGGGAGCCAGAGAAGCGTGTTGGTGATAAGAAGCCGACAGGTTCCACATCTCCTCCTGCTGGTAGTCCAGCTCCACCTGCTGCTCCTCCAGCGTCAACAGCCTCGATACGCTCAGCTTACCTTCCCTACGCTCCTGCCTTCAGCGTCCTGCTGCAGTGCCTCAAAATGGTACACACAGCATCCTGTCACAGAACAAAGCACAAAGTGGATTACTGTTCTTAAAAGGATCCATGATTACCATAATTGTAACATTAGACTTTACTTAATAAACATATATTTTAACTGCAAAATAAAGACTGTAAAAATACTGTAGGTTGTTTAGGTTTTATCATTTTTAAACTAAAAGTTTAAAAATATATTACACGGATGGGGCCATTTTATTTACACACAAAGCATTCTGGGTAAATGATGACGTGGATAGGTCCTCAGTGTGAGCGAGCTATATCCACCCTGAAGGTTAATCTTGAACAATATCTGATGATCGACTCTTTTAAATGAAACCAGAGAGCGTTGACAGAGAGG